CGAGACAAGGGTTAGACCAGCCTTAAAGCTGGCTCTGTATAGCTACTGCTGGCGGTAGCTCTTTTTTTTCTGATAATTAAACCTTCTTTTCCATCCAAGGGCTTCATCTATTAGTCTGTTCATCCATATGAACTGAAAAAAAATATATATAAAACATCAAATAAATACAGCAAAGAATATATATATATTCTCTTCAGAGTGCTTTTGTAATTATTTTGGAATGGTTCAGTAGAGTCATGGAACGTGTCAGCCCACAGACTCCCCTATTTCATGGCTCGTTGGCTTCTGTGGTGGGCTGTAACAGCCACAGATGGATAACACAAGAGAGACTTTTGGGTATCTATGGAAACAAGTAGCAGAAGTCTGCCTCAAGGTCTTCTCTTCAGATCCTTCCCCCATGCTAGGAAGGGGCAGGGAGCCCCCCCCCCCCCCCATCTTCCAAAATGCAGAGGAGCAAAAGGAGGCAGCAGACACTTGGAAATCTGGAGCTGAGGCAAGTGAGGAGGCAGAGGAGGAGGAGGAAAGAGAAGAATGCTAGAATTAACGAGAACTAAAGGGAAAAGCAAATAAAGTTGAAGAGCAAGACAGTATCCTTCCTGTAGCTTGATTCCTAAGTAGCCTATTCAGTAGACTCCACCGGTATTTTGTGTGTTAATCAGTTCAATGCATTTCCAAGCCAACTTCTCTCTTACGTTTGCTTACACAAGGGTCCATGCAGCTGTACTGGGTTAGTGGTCAAAGCAAAAGAAAAGAGTGAACGAGTTTCCTCTGGGGGAGGTGCAAATCAAACCAATCCTTGAAATCAAGTGCCGTGCTAAATGACAAGTCACTGCCTTATATCTTGAAAACATCAAGATGAAAAGTTGTGGTTTTCCCCTATGCGCTTCCATCAAAACTCCCTGGGTTTCACTGAATTTGTGACTTCAATCACCATTTTAATGAAAAAGTAAATAAAAATCTATTTCAGTAAACAAAGCTATCCATCCAACAAAAATCACCCCATTCCATCAACACGAATTTTAGCAACCGCATGCTGTCTTTGGTGCTGTTTTATTTCCTCTGCTCTTACTTCAAGATTAATAAGAACTTAGAGGAAAAAAAGCAAGAATGCCTGTTGACTCTTTAAATACACAAGGTAGCAGATACTCCATGTCCTGCTGCAGAAAGCTCTAAGAATACAGGTACAGGAAACCCTCCCTGATTTCCAGACATGGTTATTGTCGTCCAAAGCTGCTCTTGTGCTTTCATAGGCACAGCCAACACATCCCATCTGGTTACATCAGGTTGTATTACACCTCCTGATCTCATGGAAACCTCGTGTGATGAGACACAGCTCAGCAACACACCCGATTTTCGGAATAACACGTGTACTTGCCATATGCAGATAACAACCTGTGAACAGGGCCAAGCTACTTTCTCAGGAATAATAAGTTAATGACAATTTCCGCGCTAGCACATCTCAGATGAAGACTGCAGCCCAACATGCAAATTAACATTTATAACACAAGCACATTCACGCTGCAGGTGGGTAATATAATCATTGGAGAAAATTAGTTTATCATCATATACCTTTGCCTGACTCCAGTACCCCATCCAGCTATTCACCATCCTGAAGCTTAGTTCAGTAATTAAACTCGAATTAATATTGAAAAACAGCCATCAAATGATTCTCCTAAACAATTAAAAGCATGCCACATTTGGCCATTCTGCAACTGTAACTGCCTAAAACTAAGGCCCAGGAGAGCCAAAATTCAACCCTGGATCAGCAACTTGTCTTTTAGTAAATACGGATAGTACAATCTCAAATTCTGTTACATCACACCCTGTCATCTCAGGCTGAAAATGCAAACTTCTTGCAAGAGAAAGAGCAGATTGACCCCTTTCCTGGGAGACACAATATAGCATTTTAATTCTACATTGGTGGAGACAGCACTTTCCAGGCAGCATTAATATGCATACAGAGATAGGCGTGTGGGGAGCTGTGTGCACACTGTGCATGAGCATGTTTGTTTTTAGGGAAACATCTACCCAGACAGGAATATAAAAAAAAAAAAAAACAGCAAGTATATCTGTGCCAGAACCGGGGACAATACTGAGGCTGCTTTGAGTACTTGTGTCCTGCATGTGCTCCTAATGCTTTCACAGCTGTGCAGTACCATGGACACTTTCCAATGACTGTTCTTTGAAAAACAAAAGAAAACAAAACAAACCCCACAGCCATGTTATAAAAACTACACATGCAGTCCAATATCTGAAAACAGCGCCTACCCACTCTACAACAGCACAGATATTTTCATTCTCTATTTATACGTGTGGGTGACATAATTTATACAAGCGCACACACATGCACATACGGCACTGCAGAACTGAAAAAAAAAAAAAAAAAAAAAAAAAAAACCACAAAACTTTCTCCCACAGGGACAGGCTGCCATGTTTTGTCAAAATTTTCCCAAATATGCACAGATTCCTCACTTTCAGCACCATCTGCTTCTGTAGAGTGAATCCACCAATTTACCACTTCCTCGCATCTCTAGTTTCATGGACAGTGCGATCTCAATAGGTTAAACCCACCAGCTTCAGCTGCCTCTGGCCCATTTGGGGCTGTTCAGGCCATCCTTACTATCTTCCATACATTTCTACAGCACCTACTTGCAAGAGCACAACCACATATAGACCATAACCTGTAGACAGGTTAACACATATAGACCAGGCACCTTCAACCCAGCTGCTCCCTATTCAGTAGCCCTTAATGTATACTGAAATTTTGCTGCAATCTATTTGAAGACATCAAACCTATAAGGGCTTTCCAGTGTCTTTAAGTTCACAACATCTTCATGAATTCATTAAATCCACAGATACAAAACTCTTACATTCCAATTGTCTTTGTGTTGTCATTCAGTAACTTCTGCATTGAATGTATTCACTTTACCAGTAACTAGATTTTTATTTTTTTTTTTAATTATTAGTCTGTCTACAGTCTCAGGTATTGCTGGATCACTGATTGTCATCTGCAGATGATTCTTCCAGCCAAATTATGTCTTCAGATATACCTGAGTGACTCTGCTCAATTTAATTCAGCAATTGGAACTTAATTAAAAATTCTGTTGAGAATGTGTGGGCCAGAATAGGAAATGGCTCATCATGCCATAGCTGTATTAGCTTTGCAGCACTGATAGGAACACGAACTAATAAAAACTTTTTGTTCATACTAAAATGAATACCCTGGACTTTCATTAGACAGTAGGAGCAACTGCCGTAAGATGACAATCGTATCAGCAAGCAGATCTGTTCTGCAAGAATTTCTCTATTCAAGCACTTTTCAAATTAAAAACCACATCAAATGAAGGGAACCTCCATTACAACCTAAGAATACATAATTTAAATCTACTTACCCTCCCCATGACTGTCCAGGGAGAAATTGTGTGAAATGTACTCAAAGTTATTAGTTATTCGGAGAACTGAAATGGCCCCAAAAGTTTGGATCTGTCCTTTCCAATCAAGAGCATTTCACTTATTTTGACGTTTAATTCACTACTTGTTTAATTCCTACTACTTGAATAATTCCACGTAGCATAACTAAATGCTCCTTTCTACATGACTAGCTAAAATTCCTTTTTTCCCCCCCTCCTATTATATCACCTTATATTTCAGTTACATGAAGACACTGGATTTCTCCTATGAAGAAAGACTGAGATAGCTGGGGATGTTCAGACCGAAAAAGAGAAGGCTCAGGGGTGACCTTATGCAGCTTTAGCTTAAAGAAGGCTTATAAAAAAGACAGAGAGCAACTTTTTGCTCAGGAAGACAATGATAAGACAAGTGGGAATGGCTTTAAATTAAAAGAAGGGAGATTTAGACAATTACTTTTACTTAAAGACTTGTTTTCTACAAGAGACCTATCTAATGCTTACACAGCAACAAACTGAGAAAAGAACAAGACTACAGACAAAACATTGAAGTTTGCTCTGCTGGTGCTGACCCTGCACTGGAAAATTTTCAAAGATCCACAGATCAAAACCACACAGTTGGAATAAGACTGCTGAAATCTGACAGACTTGGTTGAACACACTGAATTAAAACACACAACATTTTAGGATTTTCCTTTCTACATATACTCACAGGTTGTTTTGCTTTTTTTTTTTCTTTTTTACAGAAAACTGTTGTATTCTGAATGCTGAAACTGTTGAAAAGTGAGGGATAAATACTCACTCAAAAAGAGAGAAGAACTGGATTTGACAGATACCTTGTTTTCTCATGCATATTCTCCATAAAATTTCATGCCTTTTAGCTTGATTAACCACAGACATTCAAGTGTAACTTTTAAGTAAAATAACCACCAAGATTTCATTTAAAATCTAACATTGAGTTTAATGGTCTTCATTAACAATTTGAATGTTTCTAGGACATCCTGTTTCTATTTATCATTCAAATGGTTTCTAAGATTAAAATCTCGTGTTATCTAAGATTAAAATCGCTGTTATTATTTTTCTTATCAAACGTGTAATCTAAAATACAATGCAAATTGATAAGGCAAATGCATTAGCTTTTGCTACTAACTTCAACTATGAATCCAACTGCAATGCTCAGAATTTGAAAATCAAACTGCTGTTATTGAATTCCTTGCCAACTGGTAATAAATACTCCTCTCTTCCACAGGATTTTACTTCTTTTGATTGGAAAGCATGTTATAATGGTCACTATCATTCTCTCTGCTGTTATATAGCTTTTATGAAACAAGAATGTCTAGAGGGAATAGTTTTATGATGCTTTATACTTTAATCATCTTAATGTTTAATAGGGATTCCAAAGAGAAGTTCAAAGTATCATTAAGAATCTGATTCAAAGTGTTAGAGTCAATGGAAAATCTATCGTACAAGATTTTGCCACAGGCTTCCAATTGCTTCTTCTCTTTATTGCTCTTGCTATTTGAATTTTGTCTCAGTTTTGTTATGCCATTCTAAAGCATCATAAGAATTATTTTCATTTTATTAAACACTCACCTCAAACCACTGGCCATGCGACTGCATTTTAAGGATGACACAAGGGTCTGGTTTGGAGAGGGCATCCCTATCTGATATGCCTTTGCATGCAACTCGCAGCTCCACTTTAGTCAGGCATGGGCTGTTAAAAATTCCCAGGGTATTGGCTGCTGATTCATAGATGTTGCTCATTTTCTTCATTCCTTTTCCTGTAAGGAGAGAAAAGGTCCATTTAGAATAGTGCAGGCACAGTACATCCCTTCCATCCATGCAGATGTCAGCACAGTGTTCTGCTAGCCTATAAGACCCTGCCATTGTGAACAAGAGGGGAAAAAAAAAGTATCTATGGAAGAAAGGAACACATCATCTCATATTTTCCAAAATAAGCCAGCTTCAGAATGAAACTTTCCACCATGCCCCTGAACTTTGGCAGTGAACCATGAGCTCAGCATACAGCCCTATTCCTGCTTTCAGGACCACATTTTCCCTGGAAAAAGGACAGACAGAGGTAATTCTCAATTTCTCCTGAGAGTGCCTTATTCTAAGGCTTCAATAAATTTGTTCAGCACTCTTGCAACCTGCAGGAGTACACCTAAAAAGCATGCATTTCACCTTGCAGAAACTCTGTATGTAAATTCAGCAGGTCTCTTTCATATCAACTTTAACTTCCAAGATACATTTTACTCTCTATTTCCATGTTTATCACTGAGCACTTCTTCCTCCCAAACCCAAGAAATCAGTCTGGATTGATGGTCTAAGCAGTAGGGCAGGATATTTATGCTGACAATTCTTGTTGTTATAACACTGTCTGCTCTTTTTAGGTCAGAAACCACTATTATGTGATCACACACAGCTCAAACAGTGGCAACCTCTGGTCTTACTTCATTACAAATGCCACCACCACCACCACCACCACAAACATTGCAGCTTGAGCCTTTACTCAAACAGAAGCAACAAAACTTGTTTTTAACACAGAGATAGGTAAAAAAAATCACTATATGTTCATTTCTCATCAACAAAGACTCTGGGAACACCTCAATTGGCTCACTCATTCTGAGCTTCCCAATCTGGTCCCTAAAAATCTGGTCCCTAACAAGAAGGCTTAGTCCCTTATCACACCTCTCCTCCCACATTTATAAGGGCTGCAAAAGATTAATTTCATACTTCTAGAGGGCAGGTTTATCATACCAGATCATCAACAGTTTTTTCGGGGGCTGTTTCCAGCCTCCTCACTGTCTCTTCCACGTCACCCAGTGCTCAGAAATTAATGATTTTTGAGACTGTTTTGATAAAAGTTAAATCTTGGTGTTTTGGAAAAGAAATTAAAGTTTTCTTTCCCCAATGCTGAGAATTTATAAAATCAAAACAAAAACCATCTTCAAAAAATCCAGTTTCCCTGTGAATTACAGAGGCAAAATTTGAAAGGTACCGGTAAATTCAGAGTAAGCAGACTTTGCAATGCAGAGTCAACATATAAGAAATACAAAGAAACTTCAGGAATTTAAGTTTGAACAATGAGTCAGACAATCTGTTCTCCGTGCAGATGAAAGAAAAGCATGTTAACAATTTATAATTCTTCAAGCCCATTCAAATTTATACAGCAATTTACCCTACAGCCACAGTCGGCTGTGAAAACCCTCACCCACACTGTTGGATTCAGTATGTTTCAAAGTCAAATGGGTGTGGACGGACTCTAACCACCCTCTTCCAGCCCGTATGGGTGTATCTCCTTATGGTAAAATTGGCTTTTTGAAATGTGACCCACCACTGTCATAGTTTCCCACAGCTGAAGATCACAACAGCCTCCTTCAGCCCTCCCCAGTTACCTGCAAATTCTGACACCCAAACTGTGTTGCTTTGGACTTGCCACTAAGAAAGAAATGTGACCAGGAAAAAAATAAAAAATAATATATATTTTTTTTTAAAAAAAAGGTAACAGCATTAAGCTGCATTATTAAGCCCAAAGAGAATACTCAGCTTCTGCCCTGTGTATTCCTATATGCTGGTTTTGCTTCTCATACATTTTTAGCTGAGACTCTTGAAACTGCAAATAGATCAGCATCTCTCAGATCTTGAAGTCTTTCCCATTTTGTGCTGGGTCAATTCACATGAGTAATGGCAAGACTGCAGTCCTAGCCTGAAGGCGATAGCATACACAGGGGAACTAGGCTCTAGCCTAATCTGAACCACTTTGATAAAATCATAAATTGAGGAGCAATGCCCTGCATGCAAGAGGGACCTGATATCTGATATCTCAGCTAAGCACCACAGTAAGCATCTGGGCAAAGTGCTACCAAACCTGTTGATTCAAAACTGCATTCGTGAGACCAGTTTTCATCTTTTTGTTTGCCACTTTTTTTTTTCTTCCCAAAAAAAGAACAGAGAAAGGTGGTGGCAACTTTGACACAGCCACTAAAGGCTGCTATTTAGCTAAAAGTTACATAAACAGTTATATGTATTTTGCTAGCAAATTTTCCATTCTGTTTATATATTTCTGCATTTCATTCTATTTATAAATATATCCCTGCTACGTGATGTCAGTTACCTATATCTCCATCAACTGGGATTTTAAAAAGTTAGAAACTGAGGTGGGGGGAAGGACTGTTGTCTAATTATTCGTCATACTATAATCCCATCTCCTTCAGAAAGCTGCTCAACAAACTCATTCCACACATTTACAAGACATTTTTACATGCTGCCCTTTCCAAATTGAAATCCATTTGAAAATTGGGTTAATTCTGTCTCATGCACATCTTCTATCATTAATGAAATGTCATCCTTTGTGCAGAAATAGGTTGATGATTTAATTAAACCGGATGATTTCAGTACTAAAGAGAAGGGGGAAAAAGTAGCAGAATGAGGTGGAGAGATATTTTTCTTCCTCCCACAATAATTATACACTGTTTTTTTTGGAATGGTGGGTTAAGTATAAAATTATATTTCTCTTTATCACTAAAACTATTACTTCATCTTTTACAAGTTCTAAATTTATCAATGGAAAAGATCAAGCCATAGTCTTATTCTTTTGTCCCATTATATTCTTTTAATATAATCACCAGTTTGGGCTGTTGCACTGATGTCATGTTACCAGGAAGTTGGGAGCCTGGGAAATAGATTTTGAGCCTACTGAAAGTGACTAAAAAAAGTATTATTTTACGTAAATATAGACAAGTTAGAATGCGTAAGATATTTTTCCCCCAATTAACTACGTACATTATTGATGGAGAAATAAATTATTCATTTTTCTTTGCTACAAGCTCTTCCTTCTTCGTTTCATTATAACCTCCTTATTCTTTCAATGTCCACATGGCTTTAGAATGCACTGATTAAGCACTGTATCTGTGAGAGGAAAACGATAGCCTAGCTAGGAAAAGAAGCGAACAAAGTGATCGGTCACATACTACCAAATTTCCAATTCACTGCTCCATACATTCTTTCATTTCCCGTTAAGAACAGGAAAGCAGTGTATCACCATGTGCTACCCACACTTCACCTCCCACACAAACTCAGTAGCCAGTGCTAGACTGCACGGAACAAGGATGCAAGATTAGGCCTTATGTTTTCACCTCTCTAAGGTGAAACATCATGGAAGGAGGTAATACCAATTGGAAAAAAAAAATGCTTTGCCATCTTGAAGTACACTGTACTGAAATCTAAAAATGTATTACATTAACAACAACAAAAAAGTGTGAAAGACCTTGATGTACCCTATGGAATATGAAGAAAAAGCAGGGATCTTGGAAGACAGTTCCAGTCTCCCAAAACTATTATATATCTGACATATTAGAGCCATTTTAGTAGAAAATGATGTATTCTTCTGATATTTTTTAATTGATTCATGGAAAAGCTGTTTCAGGCAGGGATGAATCTGTGGGTAAAGTTGCACCCCTGGGGTTGACTGTCCAGAACGCAGCTTTGGGACAAAGGACCTGGGTGTCCTTGTCGACAATGACTTGAGCATGAGCCAGCAACGTGCTCATTTGCTACAAAAAAGAAGGGCAACAGCCTCCTGGGCTGCCTTAGGCAAAGCATTGCCAGCAGGTCAAGGCAGGTGGTCCTTGCCCTCTACTCAGCATTATTGAGGCCACATCTGGATGTCTATTTGTGGACACCCTAGTACAGGAAAGACATGGACTTGGCGGACCAAATCCAGGGCCATCAAGGCAATTAAGGGACTTGAGCATCCATCATATGTGGAAAGGCTGAGAAGCTGGAACCGTTTAGCCTAGAGAAGAGAAGTCTCAGGAGAATCTTAATAATATGTATAAACTCCTGATGGTGAGAGGAGTAAAGAACGAAGCCAAATTCTTTTCATTGGTGTCCAGTGACAGGACAAGAAGCAATTGGTACAAACTGAAACAGGAAATTCTGACTAAACAAAAGAATATTTTTTTTACTGTGGTTGAACACTGGAACAGGCTGCTCAGAGAAGCTGTAGAGTCTCCATCCTTGGAGATACCCAAAACATCTCTGGACACGGCCCAAGCAACCTGGAGATGCTCTAAAACCTGTAGAGGTTTACAATAGGTAATACTCAGAGGTCCTTTGCAACTTCTATTATTCTTTGAATAAACAGAAAACAATGAAATTGTCAACCTTTTAGTAGACAGACTTCCTCTTTCAAATGTTGTGTTTCCTGGGTTTAACACAGGTAGGTTCTTTTCAAGGTAGGGCCCCTTGACACTGAAACCATATAGAAAATGAAAAGACAGACATAAGCCAAGTACTTCTGGTAACTGAGAGCCCTCCAACAGCTTCTGTGCTTACATATTTCATTAAAAGCAACAGCACAGAAGTCCAAAAGTTTGTTGCTAACTAAATAACTGGATTACACTGAAAAACGTTATTACACATTTGCCAGCTACCTCTTTTTCCCTTAATAAGGTCTGAATGGCTTAAAGTTGAGTCATGTAGTGCCTAACAAAGGTAAGGATCTCTGTGATGTGAAATATAAACAGTATGTGCTTCTGCTCCACGATCTAAAAATTTTGAATAAAGCTCACACAAGCACACACATCCACCTTGTTACAAAATGTTCATCCATGTACATCTTTGGAGAACCTCATCACAAAATTACAACATGGCTCCTTAGACTCATCAGGAAATAAATTGACAATATCTGAAGCTGGATATCAGCTTTTCCCCTGTCCAGATTGTCATTTTGCTGTCCTACACACACACCATAAACATGCAATCTCAGAAAGCACAT